TGTCCAACTGGTTGGAGAGTTGGGTAAACATCTCCTTGAATTGTTTCGACAAAGATTGGATCACGTCTTCCAGTCTTTTCAATCGTTTCTCCATGCATGATGTTTGTGTGTGGCTCTGATACCAAGATGTTATATACATAAAAATGCGATTTTATTGAGGAAGCTTGACTTCTTGCGTTCAAATAATTCTTTCGATATTTTTATTCTTTGAAAGTTTAAATAGACAATGAAAACACTAAAAAATAGCAACAACCCCTCGAGTAACTGTTCTACTACTAATAGTTACAAGATTCTTTTTGGTCTATTACTCCAATATTCCTAAAGTTGTGTCAAATAACAATCTTTTATTGACAGTAATAATTTAAAATAAAATAATAAAACAACAAAATAAAAAAACCGTAACGGTGCCCAAGTAGCAGAACCCAAATGACTTTACCTACCAACCAATTGTATACGAGACCATAAAAATTATAGGATCTTGCCAACCAAAAGACAACTCTATTATATGTCAATAAAGCTGAGACAGAGAACATGAAATATCATTATCATGAGGTATAGCCACGCTTAAATTTGTCATTTTATTGCACATAAGAAAGAGAAAAATTAGAAAGTTTTCCAAACCAAAATAATTGAAGGGGAAAGAGTTTTTGACCCTGCATATGTGCACTCTGTAAAATGAAAAGTGCTGGAGTGACTATCATTATGGCCAAATGTTCCAGCCCCCAATCAAACATATCAGACTCATGGTATAGCATATGTGACTCGAAAGCTTGGTCTGGAAGAATATTTATTTATTGATGGATCTGTTGGGTTAAATTTTAATGAGATAAAAATAGAAAATAGAAAATAGAAATGTGAAGAGTCATATCCTTAGGTTTGTGTTAGTGGACATTAATGAGTCAGTTATGTCAGTTAGAATATTAATGAGTCAGTTATGTCAGTTATAAAGTAATGAGGTGTTATGTGTGGAGTTATGTTTGTCAGTTTTATAGCTTATAAATAGCCTTTGATAGTTTGTATGAAAAGTAGATCAAGAGAAAAAGAGAAAGAGCAAGGAAGCAAGAATACAAAAGAAAAGTTTTTTTTGTAGATACACAAGTATGGTTGTCTCTTGCATCTATGTGGATATTCAATTCTAACAAATTGGTATCAGAGCTTGGGCTATGGAGGAAAAGAACGAGATGGAAGTGCCACTCTTTCATGGAGATAAGGATGAAGCATTAGATTGGCTTCTCTTTTTGAAGGAACATTTTCTGAAAGAAAAAAACTGGACAGAGGTCAAATGGCAGGTAGCCATGAGAAGACTCAGAGGAAGCGCAATCAAATGGTTCCGTACATGGAACTGCCGCAACTTTAATAATATGTGGAAGGATTTTCTAATGGCCTTCATAACAAAATACTTGCCTGGACGTTTTGATCTGATTAATGAAGAAGATGAAATCTTCAATGATGATGATGAAGATGAGGAAAATGATGCGGATGAAGAAGAGACCGAGATGGTGGAATCCGAGGTTGCCAACGGCAACTCATCCGCAGAGGAGATTGACGTGTCAGAACGCGTAAGAGACGACTCGGAGAAGAAGACGATGGAGATGACTGCGGTCGAAGGAGGCGAGATAGAAGAGGAGAACGAAGGAGGCGAGATAGAAGAGGAGAACGAAGGAGATGAGATAGAAGATGAGGAGAACGAAGGAGCCGAGATCGAAGCAGAGAAGGACAGGAATGACGAGGAAGACTTCGTGGAACCTGAGTGTCTGGAGACAGAGTCGAAAATCGGAAAGGAGATTGAGAAGTTGAGGTGCTTGATGGAGACCGGCATGGAGGAGACCGCGAATCCGAGTTCCGTGTTGATAACCGGGATGAGGGAGATCCCGGCTAAATCACTGAGTTCATGTTTTGGAGAAGAGCTCGACCCCGGCGTGATGAGGTTGATGTCGGAGACCGACATAGGCGCGGTTCGGGTTGGAAGTCAGAAGTCGGAGACTGCATTGAATTCATGGTGGAAGTGGAAGATGTCGACTACACCGAAAAGAGACCATTTCCCTAGAGGACGGTTGTCTTAGATTCCATTGATGAGGCACGTGGAAGCTGTTCTCGATGAAGAAGAACCCGGCGATGAAGAAACTGAGAGCGGAAAAATGGAAGCTGTGATTGTGGATAGGGAACCCGGCGATGAGGAGCCTAGAGTTACTTTTATGGCGGAATCATTTTGGCTCAAGCATAAACCAGAAGAAGATCGTGAGGCGGAATCAGAAAATGATGAGTTGAGTTATTTGCTTGATGAGGGGAATCAACGGTCCTCAACGAGTGATGGGGTTACTGTGGTTGAAGAGGCCCAACGTGCTATTAATGTAGCACATGTTGAATCTGAAAGTATTAAAATTGGCATAGGTGTTGTAAAACTAATGGGACGTTATAGTGATACAGATACTGATCAGTATGATGACTTGTGTGATGATCATACGTGTAAGAATGGATGTGGAAGTATATCGGAGGATGAGGTCGACGGAGAAAAATTCAAGATTGTCTATCTTCCACCAATGAAGGAACCGCCTGATAAAAAAAAAAAAAATTGAAGAAAAGAGTGTAACATGGAAGCAGCGCAGTAGCGCGAAAAAAATCAACCGGTGGAAAATTCAAAAAGAAGAATTAAAATTTAAGGGGGAGTTTTGTTGGGTTAAATTTTAATGAGATAAAAATAGAAAATAGAAAATAGAAATGTGAAGAGTTTTCTGGTGAAGAGTCATGTCCTTAGGTTTGTGTTAGTGGACATTAATGAGTCAGTTATGTCAGTTATAAAGTAATGAGGTGTTATGTGTGGAGTTATGTTTATCAGTTTTATAGCTTATAAATAGCCTTTGATAGTTTGTATGAAAAGTAGATCAAGAGAAAAAGAGAAAGAGCAAGAAAGCAAGAATAGAAACAAAAAGTTTTTTTTGTAGATACACAAGTATGGTTGTCTCTTGCATCTATGTGGATATTCAATTCTAAGAGGGTCTTCCTTCAATACGAATCTGATTTTTTACTTCTGGATGTTTTAATTTGTGGGAAAATTCTACCCATATCAAACATATGGTTTGAAGTTGTAGTCAAATGTCTGAATGCATCAGTCTGAACAAATGCCATTTCACAAGAGCAGCACATAATTAGAGTGCTTTTGAAATATAGTAAATTAGTAGTGTACAAAAAATGAAGAGAAAATAGTTCATAAACTTTAGAAAAGTATATAAACTATTTATGGCCTTTATTTAATATCTTAAATTTTTTGGTTGAATTGATTCTTTATTTATTAGAATTTTGGTATTCGGGTTCGATTCTTGCAGTCCCATTTTTTTTTGTGGGATTTCTTAACACAGGTAGGCAGAATCTGATATATTATCTATCTTTTAAGTCTAATGGGCTCTCTTGTGAGGGGAGTGTTAGAGAAAAACATAAATAATTAAAAAGGCTCTCACCCAATAATTTAAACTTTTGGGTTGAGTTTGTTCTTTAAATGATATCAAAGCCTCGGTATCACGTAGGGTTGGCAAAAACGAGCCAACCCGTAAAAAATGAGTTGGGTTGGGTTGGCAAAAACAAGCTGTCAACTCGAACCAACCTGAGCCAGCTCGTGAAAAAATGAGCCAACCCGCGGGTCAAACGAGCCAGCTCGCGGGTTGAGATTTTTTTTTAATAAAAAATAAAAAATATAATATACAAAAATGGTCAAAACTCACACATGCTTTCATCATTTATCTTCCTTCTCTAAACCTAAGTCCTTAATCTTCTCACATCCCTGCCATTTTTATATTGTTAGGCTGTGCTCTGTTTGATTCAAATATCTTACCCACTTCTTAGCAAGTGGTTCTGATTGTTTCTTGATGTTGATGCAAATATGTTGTGAAGAAAATTCGAAACTAAAATATTTTGCTTTTATTTCTCAATTTGTAACCCTTTATTTAAGCTGATGGAAGCCACATAGTTGTGCATTAATACTACAGGGTTATTTAAATAGGTTAAAAACGAGCCAACCCGCGAGCAATTTTCGAGCCAACCCACGAGCCATATTTTCGAGCCAACCCGCGAGCCAACCCTAACCCGACTCGGGTCGGGTCAGGTTCGATTTTCTGGCTCATTTTTTTTCGAACCAACCCTAACCCGGCTCGTTTTTTTTCGGGTTGAATGCGGGTTGGGTCGGGTCGGGTTGGCCCGTTTTGCCAACCCTAGTATCACGGATTCAATCCTCACTGCGCCACTTTTTTGTGTGCAATTTCTTAACACAGGTAATAAACTTATAGTGACAATTTTATGCTTTAAATATTTTAAAATTAAATAAAATAATTATGACCGGTTCAAATTTTTGTTTTTTATTTTTTAGGGAAAACTTCAAAATCTCTTTACGAGTTTTCTCAATTATCACTTATCCCCTCACAAATTTTTTGAATAATTTACACTTTTATTTAAATGATTCAAAATTTTGTGGAGATAATAGATGATTATGAGGAAAGTTAGGGTTTTTTTTTTTTTTTTGAAGTTTTCTCTATTTTCTATGTTCTAATTAGTAACAAATCACCTTAAAAATAAAAGGGGAGGATATTGTAACAACCAATTAGTGTTATTACTAATCAATTTCACCGTTAGATCGATTATGTTGATCCAACAATTATATTTATTTCCACCTTTATATGGTTATGATTTCTCATAATTAATATTTTATATTTATTTTCACTTTTGTATACTTATGATTTCTCATATTTAATATTTTCATCCCATATTTAATGATTTCACATTAAATACAGAGAATCATGACCATACAAAGGTGGAAATAAATATAACCATTGGATCAACATAATCAATCTAACGGTGAAATTGATTGATAGTAACACTAATTGGTTGTTTCAATATCCTCCTCAAAATAAAAATATAAAATAAATAACAACAAATGAAATTCCGGAACCGACGTCGTTTTATAGAAAAACATATTTAAGCAAGCCATCCTGTTTTTCTTCTTGGTGTTCCCTCTGCTCTTCTTCTTTACTTTACGACTGCGAAAACGATCTAATTGATACTCATTGTGATGGGCTGTGTTGCTGAAACCGAGAGAACTCTGTATGTATTCTCTCTCTCTCTCTCTCTCTGTTCAATGCCCATCGGTTAGAGTTTAGGGTTTTCACAGTGAGTAATTTGATTTTAATTTTAAATGTTTTATTCGTTGCTTGTTTTCGTTGCCCTAAATTTTGTTTTCCTCCTTAGGTATCCATACGTAACTGGATCCTCTGTAGTCGCTATCAAATACAAAGATGGGATTCTTATGGCTGCTGATATGGGAGGTTCGATGCTAAATCTCATCGATTCCTATTACCATCTTAGCTTTCTCTCAGTCAACTGCAATTCTTTTTCTACTTTGGTAGATGTGCTTTCTTCTCGTTAACTCTTGTACTTTGGCTATGTTAGTTTTTAGCTACCTTTCCTGCTGTTATATTTATATGTTTCTCCCTTCGAACTTATTCTTGTGGAAATTGCTTTTCAAGAACCTTTTTTTTTGTTTAAAAATTATAATAATTTTGATTCCTTACAATTGCTGGTTTTAGAGTAGTCTTCTGATTCATATAATGTGCTATCTCTGCAAAGTTCATTATAGTGTTCATATATATATATATATATATATATATATATATATATATAAGTATTGGCCTCAATCTGCTTCTCATGTCAATGATGGATATAATTTTAGGTTCATATGGATCTACCCTGCGGTACAAGAGTGTTGAGCGTTTGAAGCCTATTGGAAAACATTCTCTTCTTGGTGCTAGCGGGGAAATAAGTGACTTTCAGGAGATTCTACGCTACCTTGATGAGCTTATGTGAGCACTTTCTTTTAAAAAAAAAAATTGTTACTATGTATGCACTGGTTATTTCAAATAAGTGAAGCACAGAAGGGCGTGATTAGTTAAATGGTTTGCATCTGGTTTATTTTCCTTGTTTGGCTTATTTATTTGCTTCTTTTCAAACAAAGTAAAGGATTCCATCTTTGTATTTCCCCCCCTTAATCTCTTTGATATTTCAACTTCAGCATTCCCATCTAACTGTTGGCTTTGGGTTTTGATTGGTGCAGCCTTTATGACAACATGTGGGATGATGGGAACTCTCTAGGGCCTAAGGAGGTTCACAACTATTTAACTCGTGTGATGTATAATAGGCGCAACAAGTTCAACCCATTATGGAACTCACTTGTACTTGGTGGTGTGAAAAACGGGCAGAAGTACCTTGGCATGGTATGCCTTACTTTGTCTTTTTATTCGGTTCAACAGTTGAGGTACCTGCAAGTTTTTTCAGGTGTTGTATCTATGTATCTTATCCAGGTTAACATGATTGGCATTAATTTTGAAGACAACCATGTAGCAACCGGGCTTGGAAATCATCTTGCTAGGCCAATTCTCCGTGATGAGTGGCATGAAAATTTGTCCTTTGAAGAAGGTGTCAAGTTACTTGAAAAATGCATGCGCGTGCTTTTATACCGTGATAGGTCCGCAGTCAACAAGATTCAGGTTTTTTCCTGTTTCCTTTTCTTGCTTCTCCCTGCTCTACTCTCCCCCTCCCCATTTACAATTTATCAAAAGATTCAAAGCACCTAAACACATAAAAACTTCACCTTTGCTCAGTGCTAGCATACCCATAGGCCAGGGGCCAAGTTCTACATTTATGAGAATATTCTTCTTAAATTTCCATATTTTTACACTCCTCTTTTAAGATTTTGTTCTACATTTTTATTGATTTTCGATTAAAAGGGAGGCATTTGGAATTGAATGGTCTTTAGTTCTCTTAATCTACATTCATGTCATTTTAGGAAGCCTCATTAATTTTCTTAGCCAGAGAAGTTTTAGAGATCACATTTAATACCTTGAGAAGTAAATGGTTCAGGCCAAAGCATTAGTAAGAAAGTTCAATTGGTAGGATTTTAGTTGGTAAGCTAATACTCACAGGGTTCCTAGGTCTCAATGTGACCCTTCTGTCTACCTGAGGTTGGATCCTTCTGGCGTCTAATCTTCAATTTTAGCCCAAAGAATAGAAAAGCTAGTAGGTTTCTAGACAGCAAATTGCTGTATTGCACTTTTGCACTTATGTGAAACAACTTGTGAATCCATAGTAATGAGGATGTTTCCTACTTTCCTTGCATATTTAGATTAATTATTTTTGGGTGACTCAGATAAACATAGCTTGGCATAGAATCCTGACCACCTGAGAAATTAAGGGGGTGTTTGTTATGTAGATTTTGTTTAGAATGATGGGAAAGTGGGGTGGGGAAAGTTTTTTGTTGGTGTTTGGTTTAAGTTATTGTGATTTATTGCCTCCAAAGTTTTTTTCCCATTAATCCCCATTTGCACTAAGCAGTGGATAAAAATTATCCCCCTCAGCCTATGGTATTTATTTTTCTCCAATACTCAGATTCTGATTGTAATGAATTTAGACCATAATGCCCTCATGATATGTTGCATTCTGAATTTGTGGTGAGTTGAGAGATGATAGTGTGAAAGGCAAAGACGACATGCACAATTTCTGGAAGTGATAAGACATTGTTAAGACATGGAAGGATTCAAAAGGACACAATACACAGTTCAAAAAGAAATGTTTGATGTCAGAGCTACAATATTCAAAATTCATGGGTAAATTGGTAATTTATGTTAGCTTTCCCTTCGATATTTTACAATCAACCAAACACATCATCAGTAAAATTAAGCACATTTTTCCGGTAAAATTTTGACCTACCAAACAACTTTTCGTTACTTTTCAGGGCTAAATTATTTCTCATCATATTATCAGAAATCTTTTTTTCCCGGACAAAAAAAATATCTCTCATACCAAACGCCCCCTAAGGCTTTGCCTGAAATCCTGTACTGGCAGAAAAATTAAGGAGAACTATCTGATAGCAATAATATAGCCAGTGGTTTGTGGTTGTGTTTCATTCCCGTGGTGATTTGGGGAATTAAATCATTAGATGTGCAAGAGTAATATCAGTACACTTGGTTAATGTGACCAAAAATTTACACTTGGTTATAACCCAATTAAGTAACCTAAAAGTGGGGGATCCAGTGAATTGCTAGTTATTTACAAGACAAAGTGGAAGGTGATAACACCTAGGAGAAGATGGTTGCTTGGTTGTGATAGTTTTGTGTCTGCTGATCTTGTTTTGAAGGAGTTTTTGATACCTCGTCTTGTTTAGGGGTGGCAAATCGTGTTCATAGGTCGGGTTCGGGTCGACCTGTGTCTGATACGAACACGAATAGACCCAACCTGAACACGACACGATTAACAAATCGTGTTATAAAACTCAACCCGTACACGACCCATGTATAAACGGGTTGACACGATACAACCCGAATTTGATGGCAACCTGTATTTACACGACACAACCCGACCCGACACGAGTAAGCACAAAGTGATATTAATTCAAATCATATTAAAACTGTTTAATCTAATTCAAATCAAAATAACTTACTACATTGAACTCCATCAATCCAATATCAAAACATAATTAAATGCAACCTACAACAAATGTCTCATTCTTACAGCAACTTCTTCCACCAAAATACAAATTAAGATCACAAATTCAAGATCATTTAACTGATTAAAAATTTGAAATATAAAAGTCATTGATCAACTGAGTAACTGTTTTGAGCGCTATGATCAGTTATTGAATGTTGACTCATGTCCATGATATCTTCTGTCAATTCTTCCAAAGCTATTGCTGATTGCTCTATAAAAATAAAAATCAAATGAGTTAATTAAAATCATTAAAATGAACAGATAATGAATAAGTGATTGATAATGTATATTACCTTGCTCTCCATACAACCAATCTCTAGTGCAAATCAATGCTTCAACTATGTCAGGTTTGAGTGTACTTTGATATTGATCAAGTACTCTTCGTCCAACACTAAAAGCATTATCCGAAGCAACACTAGAAATAGGTATCCCAAAAATATCTCTTGCCATTGCAGCAACTTCTGGATACCTAAATTGATTAGCCTTCCAATATGATAACACATCCAAGCTAATATTTCTTCTGTCAATCCTTGGATCCTCTAAATATAATTCAAGCTGAGTTTTTTGTGGCACAATCACTTCATGAAAAGTATCAAATTCCTAACAATATTATAAAATAAATAAAATCAATAAATATACAAAAGAATATAAACAATTACAAGACAAATAATTAAGTTAACTTACACTCAAAACATCTCTAGATGTAGTAAAAAATGAGGTTTCATCAATTGTCTCACTCCCACCATCTCCAGCCCTCCTTGTTGAAGAAATAGATGAATAGTTTCTGATTCCATCATTTGCATACTCATTAAACAAGGAAACCAATTTGTCTTTCACCTTTGTTGATTCGTTCACCCCATCATCACCATACAACTTATTGTAGCACCATTCAACAAAACTCATCTTATATCTAGGATCCAAAATGACAGCTATGGCTAAAATCATACTAAATTCAGACCAATATTTGTCAAATTTAGTGAACATCTTTTCAGCCATATTCACAATATAAGCATCATCACTTTTCAATCCTTTTTGTAATGTCAGATGTGCAGTAAAAACATAAGGAAAGTAAAGATTTGCAGTTGGATGCTTGGTTTTAGAGAAGACGCAAGTAATATCATAAAATACATGCATGAACTCATTGATCTTTTCAATCCTGTCCCATTCATCTCTAGATGGACAATATTTGTAGTTGGAATCACTTAACTCAAGGTGCATGAAGGCTTGAATTTTAAATTATTTGTAGATGGACAATATTTGTAGATGGACAATACATGCAAGAACTCATTGATCTTTTCAATCCTGTCGTTTTAAATTACCAGTGCCATATTTACTATCAGCCATGTATAATTGTTCACAATACTTACATTTGGCTTGAATTTTACATCCATTCTTGTTTATTGGAATGCGCTCGAAGTGTTGCCAAACCTTGGATACTAACTTTCTCGGTTTCTTTGTTGGCACGTTTGTGTCTGCTGATCTAGCTGTATTATCACCCTCAACATTTGCATCTTGAACATCAACCTCCCGATCCATCATTTCAGTGCTGTTTTGTGATTCAAAGTCCATCTACATGTAAAAAGGAGAAGTTAAAATATCTATTCTACAAATGAGAAAGCAAAATTTAGAATTTACATATATTATATATAGTACATATATTACATATATTATTTACTCACATTTTGAAACTTGAAAAGCTAATTAAAAAAGCTGATCAAAAAGGCGAAGTACCCATGAAATAAAAGCTCATGAAAACTGAACAGAACCTCAACTCAAGTCTCCGACAAAAAAAAAATAAGAACAAGAAGAAATCATCCATGAAAACGGAACAAAAAAATAAGATTGTAGCAAGAGGTATTACATGCAGAACTAATTCACTGACCAATTTCAACAAATTAACAAGTAAGAAACTGATCAAAGCCCTAATTGAGCAGATCTCCATCCAACCGTTCAATTAATAAACTGAAAACCCACTCTAAAAAAAAACTCTAAAGAACATAAATCCAACCAATAACCTCTATTTCCACCATTACAGAGCAAATATTACTCAACAACCTAATGGAACCTTACTAATTTAATAACGATTATATAGAGTTTATGGTGGGTGCAAGTTCAATTAAACACTAAGGCAGAGAAATCATTATTTAGCTACAAGAAATTATAAATACAATTACAGACTTTCATCTAAAACCAATTTTTCTTTATCAATATAGCAATAATGTATAAGTATTTAAATTGATCTAAGGCATTCAGCAATATATGCTATGATTGATATACACAAGCACACACAAGTATGTATATATATGAACCATCATTGAATTAGAGGCTACGGCAATAAATTATCAAGTGAACAACCAATCCTATGAGCAGTTAAAGCTGGTTGTGAACTGTTTTGGTAAAATACAAGTTGACATAAAACAAAATTGATTTATATAAAAAAGAGGATTCTCCAATTGGTCCCTAAATCAAACCCTAAACCCTAAATAAAATTGGACTTTTTAATTACAAATTGGAAATCCTTTACATTAGAAGCAAAAGGTAGACAAATTTCAAAACACCACAAGCAGAGGAAGAGCAACAAAACCATCAGTCATACCTTGACGGAGAAAAATAATGTCTGCGTCGTTTTCTGTTATCATATAATACATTCATAATATTTCAGCATATTATATATAATATATGGTTCAAATTCACATACCGTAGCTGGTTTGAGAAGACAACCCACCAGGTTGAATATGTCGCTGCATCCAAAGAGATTTCGTTAAAATGAACAGAAAATGAAGGAACGGTATAGTGTGGGGAGAGCGTGTAAAATACAGAGTGTGATTAATGTGAAGAAAAAAAAACTTACCGAGGAGAGGGGAAAATGCAAGCGAACGGTATTGTTGTACTGAAAGTTGCCAGAGTGCTGCGGCGCTGGAGGATGGAGTAAATTGAAACCTAGGTATTATTTTTCCTTTTATACCATGGTTTACGGGTCAAAGTGGGTTCACGGGTTAAGCCGTGACCCGACATGATTTTTTTGTGTTATTTTTTTTCCAACTCGAACACGACCCATTTATTAAACGGGTTGACCCATACACTAAAATTTCGTGTCGGGTCCGGGTCGGGGGACACAAATTGCCACCCCTAGTCTTGTTCATCATCAGTGTAAAGGTTTCAATTTCTTTTGCTGTGCCCATTCTTTTGAGTGTTGGTGGTCATAATAACGACAGCCAATCACTGTGCTTCCTGTTTCATCATCAGGGGTAAACTGTTCACAGTTCACCTTTATTGCACCCTTTCTATCCTGTATATATGTGGATTGAGGCTTGGATCTGAGCTATAAATGAGTTTGCTTCCTTCCTTCCTTTGTTGTTGGATTGTTATTCTTAATATAATCTTCAGTTGAATTGAATGGATTGTCTATTGCATTATGATATTTAGTATATCTATATTAATATTGAATTTGCAGATATCTAAAATTACTGAAGAAGGTGCTACTGTTTTCCCACCATTCTCGTTGAAAACATACTGGGAGTTCTCTGCTTTCAAGAATCCAACAGTGGGTGCTGAAGGTTCATGGTAGGTGGCTCCATGTGAAATGAAACGAAACAGAATTTTAAATGGATATGAAATGGATTCCAACATTTCTCTTTATTATGTTAAATGGATATGGAATGAGTCATCCTTCTGCAGTTAAATTTAGATTTGTTATGTTTATATTTTTATTGAATTCTTATGCTTGATGGACTTGATCTGTTTTTCAGCAGAATTTCTATTTTAGTTTTCAGTTTGCTTTCGTTATGACATTCATCGCGGCCTCTTTTCCTCTCTCCAATTGTTTGCATTGACATCAATGCGGTGGTATGTTTGGAATAATTATGTCCAAAGATTTGTTAACAATTTTCATTCCTTTTACTTTCTTTTCCTATGAAAAACTAAATGTTTTGAAAAAATCTTAGGCAAACACGATGTCAATTCGTTTGTGCTCCGAAACGAAGAGAAATCAATCGGGCATAATTTAAGTCCTTCATTTAGATTAATAAAAGAATTGCTTCTCAACGATTAACGAAAAGAGCTAGACAAGAAGAGTAAGTGAAACAGAAGAAAACTTTAAAATGGGTGGATAACTTTTTTTGTTAAAATAAAAAAGGGTTAGCGGAGCCACATGCATTCTGGGTGTGGTCTCGGCCTAGGTTAAATTTTAACAAAGTGTACTTATTATATATAACTATAGAATTAATTATAATTTAGTCCAGGTTAAAATTGTAATTTGGTCAAGGCTATAATTTGTAATTTGGTCCTATCTAAAATTTAAAATACTTTTGGTAAGAGATTTGGGTAAATTAAATTAGGTTATCTATTTAATTTCGTTTTGTATAAAAAAATAAAATATTTTTAGTAAAATTAAAAAATATTTAATAAAATTATAATTTTTTTGATACTGCTCACTTAATTAACTAAAATTTAAATATATTATGATATAAACTAACTAAAATTAAGAAATACAAATATACATTTACTTTTTTGGCTCGGGCTAAAATATGAGCCTAGCTTCGCCACTTACCTCTGATATGACGGAAGGTCAACATTTGGATTAGATTTGTGAAAGTATTTATTGTCTTGCCGTCTTGTGTTCTACACAACTATTTTTTTTAAGAATATCAATGGTATATGGGAAATATAAGAATCATGTTGCAGGAATGACACTGTTCATTCCTGCAACAAGGATCCAGCAACGTATCTTGAGGATACGGCGTCGTATCCTGATTTTGGTTTGACTTTTTTTTTTAAGCGTGGGACCCACACTTGATTTGTGTGTGCAGGAAAATGGTCTTGTCATGTGACATGACAAAAAGCGAACCCATGGTATATTTATTTTCACAAAATAAAAATAATAAATCAAATGATTAAAAAAGCATATATTAATGTAAAAGATTGAACATCCCAAATTCCCAATGCTCTAGTCCTCCTTTCATAGCATTTCCCAATTTTGTTTGATTTTTATATGCAACATTTACATAAATATTTAAATCAATATTTGAGCTGAAATGGCCAGGTTAGACCAACCTGCAAAATGGCCTAATTTTTAAATTGATTTTTCGAAAAATCTAATGCACTCTATTTTCTAAATAAACTAAATGAGATCATGTCTAAAATTGGTCAGACTATAAGCCCTTGATAAATCACCTCAGCCATTTAGAGCTCAGTAAGTTTACATGAGTCATGTTACTTGCACGTTCTCTAAAAATTTCAATCACACCTGTTAATGTTTTAAACTTGTGTTATTTAATCTCAATAGAGTTTTCAAGAGGCTTGATAGAGTGTGTGCCAATGATGAATGGAGAACTATCTTTGCTAATGCCTCTACTAGAACTTTTCCTAGACTCAATTCTGATTATAATCCTATTCTTCTATCCTTGCTGCCAAAGGATGCAGCTTGGAAGGAGAGACCCTTCAGATTTTTAGCTACCTGGCAGGAGAATAACAACTTTCCTTCGTTCCTGAAAGACAATTGGGATCCTGAGTTAAGTGTCTACTCCTCTCTTTCGAAGATTATTGAACCCCTTAAGACCATGAATAAGAAAGTTTTTGAAAACATCCATTCTAAGAAAGGAGCTCTTCTTAAAAAGCTCCATGACCTGCAGATTAACAAGTGGGGCTTATAAGATGATCTACTTATGTATCTGGATCAAGCTTTACAAAACGAGATTAATGTTGTCCTTGAAGAGGAAGAAATTTTTTGGTTCCAGAAAGCTAAATGTAAGTGGATAGCGGATGGTGACAGGAATACTAAATTCTATCACACTACAACCATAGCCAAGAGAGCGAGAAACAAAATTTTGGAAATCAAAGATGATGCTGGTAATCTGTTGAGAGATGAACAAAGTATCATTAACTTGGTTTTATCTTTATATGGTAATTTATTTATTGAGGATTCTCCTTCCAGACTTTGGCATACCACTTCCACCTCTTGGCCGCTGTTGGAAGAGTATGATATGGAATCTTTATCTGCAGCAGTTACACATAGGGACATCTATAAAGCCTTTAACAAAATGGGTTCCCTAAAAGCCCCGGCCCTGATGGGTTCCTTGCGTTGTTCTTCCAAAAGAACTGGGAGATTGTTGGCTCCCAAACAATAGAAGCAATCCTCCACTTCTGGAATAACCCAAAAGATATTACGTTGATAAATAATACTTTGTTGGTTCTTGTTCCCAAGATTCCCAGACCTAAAAAAGTTAATTAGCTAAGACCTATTGCTCTATGCTCTGTCTTGTATAAGGGCGTTAGTAAAATTATTGTCAACAAGCTCAAACCAATTATGCAAAAGATCATCTCTCCCTATCAAGTGAGTTTTGTTCCAAACAGGTATATCCAGGACAACATCATTATTGCTTAAGAGATGATTCACTTCATGAGACGTATGAGAGGCGAGAGGGGTTTCTTTGCAATTAAAATTGACTTGGAAAAGACATATGACATAATATCTTGGGGTTTCATTAGATTGGTCCTTGAAGAAGTTAACTTACCTTCGGCCTTGACTAATATCCTTATGGAGTGTATTACTTCCTCCCATCTTGATATTTTGTGGAATGGTGGTAAAACTGATTCAATCTCTCCCTTTAGAGGTCTAAGACAAGGTGATCCAATCTCTCCTTACATCTTTGTTTTATGTATGGAAAAACTCTCTCATATAATTGCAGATGCTATAAAGGACAAGAAATGGACTTCTATGGCTGCTGGAAAAAATGGCCCAAAAATCTCTCACCTCTTTTTTGCTGATGATCTAATGCTCTTTGTTGAAGCCTCTGAGGACCAAATTTCTGTGGTTATGGATTGTTTAAATCAATGTGGAGCCTCCTCGGGTCAAAGGGTGAATAATGGGAAATCTAACATATTTTTCTCTAGAAATGTCACTGATGACATGATTGCGAAAATAATGAATATTAGTGGCTTTACTCCTACCTCCAATCTTGGGAGATACCTGGGTGCTATGATGAAGCATGGTAGAGTCAACAGAAGCCTCTATGGTGACATTTTGGATAGAGTACATAACAGATTAAATGGTTGGGCAAGTCACAATCTTTCCATTCCTGGAAGGGTTATAAACTTATAATTGCAAAATATGTCATCTCTTCCATCCCCTTGTTCCAGATGCAAAGTGGTATCATCCCTTTGGGAATTTGTGATGATATAAAAAAGCTTCAAAGAAAATTCATATGAGGAGATTCCAACTCAAAAAAGAAAGCTCATGTCATCTCTTGCGAGCAAATCTGTACTCCTAAATATCTAGGTGGTATCGGCTTAATGAAGTTAAAGAAACAAAATGAAGTCTTTATGCATAAAATGGCTTGGTCCATCATTAACTTCCCTGATCATCTTTGGACTCAAATTCGTATTGCTAAATATGGTAGAAATAAGGATCTGACTAGTTCTCCTTTATGCAAATCGTATGACTCAAACTTGTGGAGAAATCTTTGTAAAATTTGGCCTGACATGTTGAAAAAACCTTGTATGGCAGGTTGATGATGGCCAAAAAATTAACTTCTGGTTTGATAACTGGATTGGAGAGATCCCCAGGCTGATTGATGTAGCTAAACAACAACCTCATCCTCTTCTATTATCTGATTGTGTAGCAGAAGCTGTTGACAATATTACAGGAACTTGGAACTCAAATCTTATTGCTAGTTTTTTTTGAATTAAATGTCATTAAGCTTATTTCAGCTATCCCTCCCCCTTCTAGTTATGCTGGTGCTGATAGTTTAATGTGGAGAAATTATAATCCTTCCACTTCTCTTGTTAAACAAGCTTATAGTAGAGTATCTAATTTTGCTATTGGATGTGCTGACTTTTCTTGGAACATGATATGGAGTTGGAAGGGCCTAGAAAAAAATTAAATTTCAAATTTGGAAGATGTCTCATGGTAGAATGCTCACCAGGAATAGAACTGCTCTTTGGGGATCTGGCTCGGATAGATGCTTCTTCTGTAAAGATAAAATAAAATCTCCTCTACATGTCTTCAGGGATTGCCCAACTGCTGCTGGGTTTTGGAATAACCTAAATCGGACCTCTTCTCCACACGATTTCTTCACTGAATAGGACCGCTTGACTTGGATGAAGTTGAATCTTAATCACCTAGACGGAGGGATTCCTGAATGGAGAAGCCTTTTCTTCATTGGCTGCTGGTTTCTTTGGCTTTGGAGAAACAAGAGAATCCATGAACCTGACTTTAAAAGACCAGAGAATCCTTCTGCTGAAGTTCTAAAGTATCTTCATGATATTAATCAATCTATTGCTAAGCCTCAGATCAGTGAGTCCGCAACTATATATATATATATATATATATATATATATATATATATATATATATATATATATATATATATATATATATATATATATATATATATATATATATATATATATATATATATATATATATATATATATATATATATATATATATATATATATATATATATATATATATATATATATATATATATATATATATATATATATATATATATATATATATATATATATATATATATATATATATATATATATATATATATATATATATATATATATATATATATATATATATATATATATATATATATATATATATATATATATATATATATATATATATATATATATATATATATATATATATATATATATATATATATATATATATATATATATATATATATATATCATCTTCTAGTATCTCAAACTGGGTTTTAGACCATCTCCTAACTGGGTGAA